CGGGGGCGGGCGGAGCGGCGCTTCCGCCGCCGGCACAGCCCGTGAGCCCGCCGGGCCGGGGCCTCCCCTGCCCGCAGGTACCGGGAGGAGCGGGGGCCCGGGGCTCTCCCTTGCCCGCAGGTGGCGGGAGGAGCGGGGTCCCGGCTGTGCCGCCCCGAGGGCGCAGGGTGAGCGCGGTGCCGGCAGCTGGGCTGACTCACCGCAGGGTTACGGCAGCGCCGCGGGCAGGGCGGGCTGGCGGCAGAGCGCTGCCCCAGCCCCGGGCTGCAGGACCCACCATACCCACCACATGGGAAAAAGGTTGGAATTTCCCCTTGACACGTGGCCACGACGGCAGTCGCGTGCGGCAGTGCCATCCCCTGTGTCCCACCTGGGCTGTGCAGTGGTGCCATCCCCGTGTCCCACCTGGGCTGTGCAGTGGTGCCATCCCTGTGTCCCACCTCACTGTGCCCGCCCAGGCAGAGGCTCGCGGGGCCCCTGTGCCCCCCACCTGCCCGTTCATTAGGGAACACGTTGCACCTGCCTGGCTCGGGCTGGAGTGCTGGGAGAAAGCTGGGAAAGGAGCAGCTTTGTGGTAAAAAAATAGGACGTAAACCATGAATCTGCTGGGAATTCTGACACATCAGTCGGAAACACTGTGTCTGTAAAAATGGTGAACTTAACTGTGACTTTGGTAAGTTCACCGTACATCTGAGGAGAACAGAGTAAGTTTTAAAAAGCAAAACAAAGGCATGCTTATGTTCCTGTGCTGGCGGCTGCACAGGCCTTGTCTTCTTCCATCATGGCACACGTGCTCTGGCAGCCCAGCCAGGGGTCCCTGTGCTCCACAAGGCACAGCCTCAGCAGAGTCCCTGACAGAAGTGACATGGATGATTTTCTGTTCTATTACATTCAGTAATAATAATTACAACATGCCCTTGCTTCACTGCCTGCTCCTCTGCAGTTAAAATCTGCTCTGCTTCCATTGGAAAAAAATAATGATCCCTATGTTTTAAAAAACATCTTGTCAGAGCATGTGGAGCATTTAGCATGAATAATTATTTAGCTCCACTATTAAATGTCACATTGGACATGAATGTAAAATAAAATTTTAAATACTTCCCTGGTATTACATCACAAAGCTAAACTGCTTTTCAGGCTTCCCTCAAGTGCATGAAAGACAAAACCTAGGCCTGATTCTGTTCCCATGTGATTAACACATCCACTCTGGACTGGCAGAACAGTAACATCTGGAATATTTGGAGACCCTGGAGCCCAAGCTCTGCCTCCACAGCCTGGGACTCTGCAGTGCAGAGCTCTGGAGCTGGGCCAGGAGGCACCCAAGGACACAGCTCATCCCTGCTGTGTTAGTCCTGCCCTTCCCGCAGAGCTCTGCTGCTGGAGCCGGGGGGAACCATTCGGGTCATTTCCACGTGAGTGGCCCTCAGGAAACACTCTGCAGGGGGGAGCAGGGAAGGCTTTGTTAGGCTGAGCAAGTTACCTCACCCCTGACTGGCAGGGCCCTCCTTTCATCACCTGTGAGATGCAGACTTGATTTCTGCTGAGACTTGAACTGAAAGAGCAATCCCAAAAGCTTTGATTAGAGCCTGGACTCACCAGGGATGATGTATGGTAAGTGCCTGGCAGGTGCAGGACTGGAGAACTCCTGGGGGTGGAGGAGTGAGTTTTGGGGAGTGCTCAACAAAATTACTTGGTTTTTTATGAATGGGCACCCACTTAGGCTCCTGGATAAACTTGCAGAAGGGCCAAAAAACCATTAGATTTGTAACTGTTCTCTCCAGACTTGCAAGAGTTTGTGTATCACCAAATCAGAAAAGAATAGAGTAGATTAGAAGTGCTCTGTGATATTTTCAAAGGTATAAAAATATTATTTACACTAAGCCTGTTTAGTAGGTAATAAACCATCAGACAAAAATACAGAAGGAAACATAAGGAACAGCCAACCCCAGGTACATGCATACAAACCTCAGATATATTAATTCTTCTCCCAGGAGATCCCAGGGAAAACAAAAATTTTGCTAAGAATCAAATTAAATAAAGCACAAAGAAATTAAAATAGGCAAATTTTTATGTCCCACAGACGAAAGAAAACTGCAAATTGCCACTCCAGCTTTAAACAGCCAAAGCACAGGGAGAAGCCACAGGCAGACCCTAAAATGCTGGTTCAGTTGTCAATTGGGATTTCACACTGGATTATTTCTAAAATTATCTCTCAGCTGTCTACATGAAATTGCCAAGGAATTGGATATAGCTGCTCCATATTACTTAACTCACAAATCCTAATTATTAATAACCAAGGTAATCAGCTTTTACAAGATTATTCTCTTGCACATACTTATTCACTGTGCTGCAATTACAAGGGTAATTTTGGTTGCACCTCAGTGTTCCATTTCATACACAGTAAAGGAGAAGTAAAACCTTACAATAAAATTGCCATCATAAGAAAAGTAAAATCAACTCTATAATTTAAGAGAAGAAAGAAATGTAAACATAGTAATTAACCCATCCTACAAAGCCAGGTCACAGTGTGAAATCACTGAGGCACTTGTGTAGCAGTGCCCAAACCTGATAACAAGCCCACAAATAATAGTCAGATTAAACATCACTTTGGAAGGGTTACAGGGTTCCATATATACTTTTGTGTAAGATCTGAATGTGAAAATGTAAATGTTCATGCAGTAACTTACAGGAGATGTGTAAAGAGTCGGGCCTGTGCTTTCTGTTAAACGAGAGAAGAGGAAGACGAATCCGTGGACACTTTGTATGTCCAGTTTCAGAACCATCTCAAACCTCCCCTCCAGCTCTGGGCTGTCTCTGGCGTGTGCTGGGCTGGAGCTCTTCAATGCTGCAAACACCTGGAGATGTTGGGACACACCTGTAATTCAGCGTTTCTAAATAAACTGACTCAGTTTGCTGTGTCAGTGCTCCCTAACCCGTACTTTGACCAGCCCTCTCTGTCCCTCAGCCAGTTTTGGGATGTAAGGAGGTGTGGAGCAGAACCTGTGCAGTGGGAGCTGCAGCAGAGAGAATTCCCATGCAATGCTGCATCCCTTTGGAACCTTTCCCAAAGCCAGGCCCTGAACTAGCCATGAACACCCCTACAGCTTCAGAGCTGTGCAGGTGACCCTGGCTGCTGGTTTGGGCCCATGGTCCCCCACTGCTTCCAGCCTCCTCAGGGGCATTTCCATCAACATCTGCCCTCTGTGCCTCCAAGAGAGGGGAGGGGTGAAATGGCTCCAAGGGAAGTGCCCAGCTTTTGGTTAATCCCCCAGGAATCACTGCATGTCCCGTCTGTGTTAACTGACAGCTAGGAAATAATAATAATACAAGTAACATTCTTTTGAAACTCCTCTCTTTCCCTGGCTTTGGGCAGCTGAAGAAGAGCCAGCCCTGCTCGGATCAGAGCAGAATTAGCAGGTGGGGAAATAAGGCTCTTACTGCCCCCCAAAACCCCTCCACAGCCCCAGCAGGGCCGGGTCAGCACGGGTGAAGAAAGGCTGAGCTGTGAGTGTGACAGAGCTCTGCTGAAATCCCCCTGGCACTGCTCTCACTGCCTGTCCAGGGACAGGAACCAGGGCAGTGGAGCCTCTTGGCAATGTGAGGAGCAGGGTTTTCCCAAGGAGGACACGGTTGCTCCAGCAACACAGGCAATCCCAGAGCACTGCAGCCGTGGGGCACAGGAAGGGTCGAGCCTTCCGACCTTGTGCCCCCTTTCCTCTCCATACAGTGGTGTGTAGGCTGGGAGACATTCTACTCTGAACACTGCCCAGCCAAATTTTAACCGTGAATCAATCCAAGAAGGCAGAAGACAGGTTCTGTAATTATTTCTGTTTTCCTCTGAATTGTTTTTGCTGTTGTTAAAATAATCAGCAGTAGTAGAAAGCTTTGCAGCATTAACCAAAGGAAAACCACATCACATTGCACTGCAGGAATAAAGAACCTGTTAGTGCTCCTGGACCATCAAATTTGAAACAAGATGCTCTTTTTACTGTTAAACTGGGATGAAAAGACAAAAGAGTAAGAAAGAATGTGTAACCTGAGAAGTCTGACCCTTCCTCTCCAGTTTAGTTATATTCATGGGTTTTCCAATTTTACGATTCCATTTACACATTTAAATTCTAACAGTGAATTTCCTCTCAATAATTCAAAGACCATCCTTTCTACAGGATAATGGTTAATGGAATGTCCCTGAAAATGTAGATACAAATTTTTTTATCTGATGACTATAGTTCATAAGATGTTACTGTTTAAAGAGTTTGCAGGATTTCAGACATCTCCCAACAAAAGGATCGAGGCACTGCTTGCCATAGCTGAAAAGTTTTGGTGGTTGCCATTAGAAACTCAAGCACGGCTGGGAGCCTTCAAGGACAGTCTGTGCAGCTCAAGGATGCTGATTGCTGGATCTGCTCTCTTTGTTCTCCCTGAGGCTGCACAGAAATGTCTGAGCAAGTGACGGGGCAGAGTGGATCCTTACTGTGGGTACGTCTCCAAAGAGCTGCTGCTTCTTGCCTAAGTTTGGTTTCTGCTGGGATTTTTGGTCTGTTTTTTAAGGAACGAACATTCTGCTCATATGGGAATTCAAAAATATGTATATAAATGGAGAACTCCGGTGTTTTTTATTTGTTTCCTGAAGGATAGGTGATGATTTCTGTGTGTGATACACACTGTCACTCTGCAGTGGGAGCAGGTGAGTCACCTGCTCTCAGCCCCTGCAGGCTGTGACTCCCCAGCCTTGCAGTGCCACTGGACTTTGCCAGCCTGCCCTGCCCTTCCCAGGAGGTTCCAGGGGCCCGGTGCTGGCTGTGAACACACCAGGCACTCCACAGGCCTCTCTGGCTCTGCACAGGGGGCAGCTGTTGCAAACAGAGGCGGAGATTTTCAGAGCTGACTGTCCCGGGTGGGACACCTGAGCCCTGGGGAATGGCTTGGCTGGATTGGGTGGCTCACCCCAGTTCTGCTTGACGAGCTGGAGATGGGGCAAAGGTTGGACTCCATGATCTTAGAGGTCTTTTCCAACATAAATGATTCTGTGATTCTGTAATTGGGCTGACTTTAGAAATGCTGAACCTGGTTTAGTTTCAAACACCTGATTAACCTGTAGTTATGTACCAAGTTCCCCTTTGCTGCATTGAAATGCTGGGATTTTAGGAATGCCATAGCAACAGAATCAGACAGAAAGGAGGTCTGGAGTGTGGGGCAGGGAAGCTCGTGCCTGTTTTTCTCTAATGAGCTGAAGCTCTGGAGTGTGCCTTTCCCCCTCACATTCCAGTTTCCCATTTGTGCTCCCTCTGTGCTCCACGCCTCCCTTGGCTGCAGTCCTGCAGTGGAAACTATGCATGGATGCATGTGGAGCTGGGGGCTGGGAGACCTTCATTCCGAACTTCAACAAGCCCGTGGTTTGGCCTAATTGGCCCCAAATAACCAGGAGTTGGACAGAATTCCCGGCTCTGAGGCCACTCTCCCATTCCCCCCCTCTGCCTGGCCCTGGGCTGTGCACAGAGCACTCTCCACACAACACCTCGGTACCCTTGTGTGTGTGAGGATATTTCTTTTCCAAACATTCTGAAAAATTGGCTCTTCTCTTATTATCTTTCCTCTCCAAGCTATTACAGGTGTTCCTAATTCAACTCTGATCCCACTAATTAGCTCAAATACATTTTAATTAGTGGAATTCATTCTGCTGTTAGGTGTGCCAAAATTCATATCTATGGTTTCTCTGAGCTCAGTTTCTCAAGTTGTCTCCTTTCCAGTCAAGCTCTTATTTTCTAGCAGTACCTTAAGTGTTCTTCTTAGTTGGAAATAATTTGTATCCTATCATCTAAGTCCTTTTTTCATCCTTCACTTTACTGTGACTTATTTCTTGACCTACCACACAAACCAGTCGAAATTCTAGACCTGATAGGTGCAGTTATCAGGGAGACAAAGGGAGCGGGGATGTGTAAAGCAGGATATTGCAGGAGAGAAAAGCCCTTCAGCTGGAACAGCAGCAGGTCAGGAGCAGAGTGAGAGTCTGAGAATTCATACAGCACTTCTAACAAGACTGAAAAGAGAGAGAAGAGGGGCGTAGAGACACTCACTGAGCCAAGAACAGATTCCCAAAAGAAAAGAACTCTGATTTCAAAAGGAAGGGGGGAAAACGAGTGGATAGAGCAAGTCCTGCTTTGCCAAGGAGTCTGATGCAGGAGCACGGCCAGTGCACTCTGCCTGTGCAGCCAGTCTGGCTGAGAGGATTCATTTTATCTGCAAAACAAGTCCCCAAAGACAAAACATTTTTATTGCTTTTAAGTTGGTTTCAAAATTAGTCACGGACTGATTTCAACCCTTAAATCAAACTGAAGGTGATCAAGACCTTGCAAAAGTCTTTCATCCAGAGAGGCAGTGCTGGACCCAAAATAAGCAGAAACCTTGCCCAGCATCGCTGCTGTGGAGAATAAACCAGTTTATAAACGTTAATAAAGAGTTGAAAAGCTTTTCAAGTTTCTCTGACAAAGCTCAGCACAGTGACAGGATTCCTTCCAGGGTCTGGCACGGGCAGGCTCGGGCAGGGGCTGCCCACAGACTTTGCCTGGTTGGGAAGAGCTGGAACAGCGAGAGCCTCTCAGAGGACAGGGACAGACTCATCCCAGTCCCACGGGCTTTGCAAAGGCCTTACAAGTACCTGGAGCTGGAAGGGAGCTCAGCACCCGGGTGATGGCCATGGAAACAAAACCCTGTTTTGTCCTGAGTCACCAGGACAGCACCCCGAGGTGCTCATGATCCCTCAGGCTGAGCAGAGCCATCAGTGCTGGCTGGCAGCGGCTCCAGGGAGCTCGGGAAGCCAGCTGGAAGCACCGAGCCCCCCGGCTGGTTCCACAGCCCCCCGGCTGGTTCCACAGCCCCCCGGGTGGTTCCACAGCACGGCTGACAGTGCTCTGTGGCCTTCTGAGTGACGAGAAAGAGTCTGTGGATTGTGGCTCCTGTTCCAGCACCGCTCATGTTCGTACATGGTCTCACTGTGTTTGGATCTCATTTTTACAGGCTGCTTTATGTATTTGGAATGGAGGGGGTTTTAATGTTGAATTATGCTCCTTGAGGGTATAAAGAAAGAAGGAAGGAGTGGATTAAGGTACCCAGACATACAGCAAGAACATTTCTTTCTCAGAAAATGTTGCCTGGCTTCTTCCTCTTGAGTTCTGTGCTGTTAAATACACGGCCTGGATCCATCCCTGGTGTCAAAGTGCTTTTGTTTCATCTACAGTTTTATTCAGTTTCTCGGGAGATGAAAGACAAATAAAGAGGCTGAAAATGTTTTCAAATGCAGCCTGAAAGCACGAGAAAAAACATTAACCTTTTGTTTCATTGCTTGGAAACCCCAAAAAGAGAACTGCAAGCAGCAGTTTGCCCGTGAGACTGTCAGTGCTTCCTGTTCTTGTTTCTGCGTGTTCTTTCCCTCTTAAGAAATTAGACAAAGAAAAGGGGCACTAAATTGCTGGCATCCCATGCCCCAGGGTCCTGAATTCAGCTGGCACTGCTCAGGCCCACTTTCAGCACCTCCCCATGCAGTGTCAGAGCAGCCACTGGAACCATGGATAACATTCCTTGGGAATGCTGTGATGCAGCTTATGATCCCCTGTTTTTCAGTGATAAAAGCCAGACACTAGAAGGAAACAGAGAACATGTTTTTCACTCTAAGACAGAAGAGAAGAACATGTGTTACAAGCCAGTTTACTCAGCTCAATACCTACTTGCTCGGTATCATAATTAATCAATTCTTCAAGTAGCAAAATAACCAAAATACACGATTTAGCCATCTCACAGTGAGTTGTGTGGGCTCCTTGTAAAAAGCTACTATTTTAAGTTCAGAGATGTTAAAAAT